AATAATGTTGCGGTGTAATTTGGCTTCCGCACGAAACCGACGGCCCGCCGCGAGCCTCTGTTGGCAATTTCAGCACACTGCGGAGGTATAATGTGAAGAGACAGACTTCGTATGCAATTACATGTCCTACCATGATCAGGAAAGCGACGAGTTCTCCGAATGATGCGAGGAGCAGCCAGACCGTCTGCGTTCCGATGACCCAGCGGAGCCTGGACGCCGGGTCGGTGCTGCGATACCAGCACAGTTGGGCGACGGTATCCCATCTGCGCGGTGCTGGGAATCAATTGGGCATTCCACACATCCGCGGTCAAGGGACTAACCCGAACTGTCCAGACGCGTATGGCACGATGTTGCATACACTACTGATGAGGGCCGTTCCCATGATGTAATATTTTTCCATTCGTTGGCCGTTGAGGTTGAACGCAAGTACCAATCTGGGGAGTGTCACTGTGCAGTTCCTCAGGAGTTGACCGAGTGGTGCTTACGGTAGATTGATGCCTATGCAGAAGAACATCCCCGCAGAAAACATTAGGCTTAGCTGCCGGTGGTTAGCTGTGACATGAAATGCACGTTCGACGTGGAGCGGCCGAGTCTACTTACATTCACCAAGAACATAAGAAAACCGCATTCCCAACCGGGCCACTGAATCAGCGTAACAATGATAAATACAATGCCGAAGGTGAGACTACGAAACGATGGGTTGATGGGATTAGTGGGCAAGTGTGAGGGTACTTACTTTGCGAGCAGAGCGTACACGAGAAGACGAAAGCTGACCCGGTCTAGGTGTCTCCGGGATACAGGATACCACGCCGCGTACGCGTATAGCACGAGAAGAACGACCACAAGACCGGCGCCTGGAAGGATTAGTCCTAAGCAGATCCCTGTGCTTACGAGCCTTCAATGTGCTGAAGTGTACAGTCTCCAACGAGGAGTGCATACCTGGTTTGCGCGAAGGATGACATGGTGAAGGGCACGGAGGATGGGAAAAAGCGGCATATTTATGCAGTTGTCAGGTGTATGTCACTATGATCGGAATGACCAAGACGCAAAGCCGAAGTTGCCCCAATTTCTTTGTGTCGGATTCTTATCCCTTGAGTTCTCATACATGTCTGAGGGTTCAAGATGTTGTAATCCATACAATCTACAATGGAAAGTAATATTTGCTCACCATTGATATTTCCTAAGGGCAATTGTGGCAAGTCCCTCGTCGAGTAACTCCTTCCGAACGAGGCCCGGATTTTTCGTTGTCCCTCGTGGATATCCCCTGGACTAAAATATGCAAAAATATGTCTCCTCTCGTTTAGCCGTAAGTTGTCGTAATTGTAACCATGTTTAGCTTGCCGCCGGGCAAGACAAGTCTGCTCTGGTTGGCATCGCTTACACCCTCTGCCGCTTTCGTCAGTCATAGGGCCAACCCGTCCGGGCTTCCATCAGTGCAAAATGATTTCTACAACGGCAACATTAGTGTTGGTGCCGCGGGCAGTGACACAACGGGGGCCTTGGGTCGCCACATGGCGGTGTTCCAGTACCTGCAGGGAGGACGGATAGGAGCGTGGAATGAACTTGGTAATATACTCGGTCGCTCATAAAAAACTTTCCTCGCCGGTCTTGAAGCCCGTAGGCGTATTACGGACCGGTTGATGTGCCTTGTCACTGGAAACGGTGAGTCGTTTCCGATCATGATCGTCTCCGTCCCGAACATTTGGGACCGAGATGATTGAGCAGCTTTCATAGGTCTCAAAGCTGGCGAGAAAACTACACACGGCACCAGCTGTACCACTAGCAAACTGCTGTTCAATTTTTTTAAAGTGCTCCCATTTTTTGTAGGCCTCAACTGATGGCGAGTCAACGGTGCCATACTTCAATGATGGGATTCTGGGAAATCGGTCTCTAAGCCGTGTGCATTGATGCTCCAATTTTCGTTATTTTTTAGGGGGGCCACCCCAGCCTCATCCTAAAAGTGATATTTTTATGAGGCATGTAGCGTTAGAAAATCCAGTGGAGGATCCGTATACTCAGGTCGTGTGTAGTCAGAGATCATGGAGGAGAAATTTGATCCGGCGGTCGACACAGCCACACCGCTTCCTTCTTCCCTCGCTGGCGTTCCTTCTTCCACCTGTGCCCAGTCGCACCGTCTGACGCCTCCGACATTGCTGCAACCCGCGCCATACATCCGCATCCGTATGTGTCTGTTCCACCAAACTGAGAGCCGCACATTCCTCTGCAGGCGCGCCCCGACGCAGTGCTCCTCGGGACCCAACATCCCCCCTTTTCTGCCTTCCAATCCATACCTGTCTTGTATCAGCCCCGTTGTTTGCTTGCACACATATCCCCCACACCGGTCTCAGTGGCTCGCCTCTCCAATCCTTGACACATACGCAGCGTTGTTCGCGATAGATACGAGACTTATCCCGCCCATACTTTCTGCATACCGCTCTTCACGCACTGGACGCACGCATTCAGAGACCCAGGCCCCACGCTCGAAGTCATCACGGCCCGCGCACGAAGTCGTCACGGCCCCGCGCACTAACTCTCACATCAACGAGGTGCATGTCCCATCGAGTTCCAACTCAGATGGACGATACGATTGGAGCAGACCTGCGCACTGATACACACCCCTCGGTGTCATGCCCGGTGCGTTCACGCACAGTATTGAGCGGCGGTTTGGGCTGTCGGAGACGATATCCTGCACATCCGAGGACATTTTCGCGCTGGAGGGAGCCGGTGCCTTGATATGCGCATTCTTCCGCAGCTGAGCAAGGTGGATCGGGCTTGCAGAGTGGAAAGAGATCCGACGACACGGAGCGTTCCTGGAGGTCCAGGCGCTAGAGGTCCATCACGACAACGGTACGTGCGGATCTGCGCTGTCCATGTACTCGTTGATTTATCTTCTCGTTCACAGTTGCACGTAACAGCATTGTACGACACTCCAGATACATTATCGTCTCCGAGATGAGCACCGGGCTCAGCCGAACATACGGTGACGACTACCGCCCTTCGGCCATGCATATCACGAACGGTGCGCTAACTTATCGTCGAACTTGAGATTCGGGGAGTACATCGCATATTAATATTTGAACTCCCGTAGATCTTATGCGGCAACGGAGCTCAAGCTGATGCTTATAATTATACATGTAGTCGCCGCGCTTGCCGTCCCCATCTGCGTATATTCGCCTAGCTGCATAACCGCAATTTGGTAATTGAAACATGGTCTCTTTCGTCTTTTTGCGCGAAGATTGAAGCGGTGCCACGTACGTTGTGTTATTTCCAGAGAACGTATGGACCTGCGTCCTTCGTCGGGGGTGCCGGAGTTGTCTAGCACCGATGGCTGGGTCGCGCATTCGTGGGATGATCTTACTGTAGATTCTTTGCCAAACGCGCTGAAATCTCTTTCATAAGAATGTTTATCTGAGCTTCATTTTGTAAATATTTGAGGTATGTCCTCGAGTGCGTCCTTTCAGGGGGAATAAAGACACTCGAACCCCTCCATGTAAGATAATATAAGAGCATCATGAATTCACTGGAATCGAGCCTGCCATCCTTCGCTTTTGAGATGCTCGTAGATCCATGAGTTCACGTTTTGAAAAGTTTATTTCTTATCCTCTCTAGATATTATTCCCCCAAACTTGACGTGCACATTTTCAGGAGATCTCGGGGACGAAATCTAAGTACCTCTTCGGTAGAAGTCAGCTCGAGCCTTTCGGGCTTTCAACCGACTGTGTGTGCCGACCAAATTCAACAAAGCAGTCGATTCTAATTCCTCAGTCTTGATCGGTTCATTCCTGAATGCATTTCATTCCTCAACCACAAGACATGCCTGAGCTTCGCTCCGGCGTAAGTGCGATCCTGCCGCACGTTGGAAGGTAGGCCCACCGGCCTTTCCAATTTCACTTCGATGTCCCTCAGATTTTGAGCTAGTATATAACTCGCTGTGAATCCATTTAATCAATACAGATCTAGAACGGAATTAGAAATGAATACAGCCCAAGGCAACAACAGAATGAAGCTTCGTTCGAACGGGTCAGCAACTCGTATACATATACGCTATTAACCCACTTCTGTCGACGTCGATCAGGTGAAAGTCGTGCAATAGCAGTCGGAGTGTGGAACCGAACCGAGTGGTATCACTGGCGGCACTGTCAGCGTTGCGTGTGCAGCAAATCGAACATAAACGTGGCTAAGGCGCACCCGTTGCTGCTTCTGTCTGAATTGCCTGCACAAAACGCAGAGCCAATTATGGTAAGAGCGATGAGAGAATCAGCTGCAAGTTGCGCAAGCTGGGCACCTCATCGAGTTCGCTGGTGTATATGTGGATGGGAGCGTCAAATAACCGGAGTGAATTTCAGGGAAGTGAGCTACCTGATCCTCAGAAAGTCATAATCCGATCTTGCTGGTCAAGTACGTGCAATATCTCAAGTGGGGCATCAAAGTATAATGTTGGCGGTAGCGCGGACACGTGTATGAACGAAACTGGATAGAAATATTTTAGTAACAACTGGATCTGCAACAGGGGTAAAAGGCTGACCAGTAGCGCAACCTTGACGCATCAATTGGCTTGGGCAAGCGCGCCAAAGGCAGTCAATATAAATTGGGTTCGGACTCCGCGTCGTCCTCGTGTGTCCGGACGACGGGAGTTGAACCGGATGTCGAGGACGATCCACGCCTAGTGAAGTGTCGTCAGTGCTGTGACAGTTTGCTAAGAAACCCACTATCGAATTGACACTCATCGTGCTGGCTGAAAATTAAGGATATTAGGTCGATGGTGCGTGGATAGGAAACCTAAACTAAATGGTGAGAGAAGCGCAGGAGGAGCTGGGGCCTGGAGGCATCATACAATGCATGCTGGGATGAGGCATGGTTCCTGAAGAGAAAATATGGTAGACCTGCTGATAGCTCACAGCTTAAAGGTCAGAACATACGTCTGGAGCATCTGTGATGGATATGGGTCTAGCCAGCCCATTACATCATCATGTCTTCTCAAAGTCCGAAAGCACAGTAACGGGTCTGTAGTGCAATGGTAACACACTGGAGCTGCTGAGTTCAAGTCCGGCCTGATCTAGAGGTCTTGGGTTCAAACCCCCTCTTGTGCTTATCTTTTACTGTGCTATTGCCATATTTGAGGTATCATGCGAAAGGTCACCGGAAAGGTCACCGGTAGTACGCCAGGTAATTCCTGAACCTGCCACCTTGAACCGAGTTGCCAGACTCGGCACGCGATCCTTAACAGCATCTAAATCGAGCGCACTGACAGGCAGCGCCAGAACTTACTGCTATTTGCGGAACATAAGGCGCGGATCATTTCTTTTCTAAACAAGCTGTTTTCACTAATGCCCCAATATCTCGCTCAGTTCTGTAACCAATGTCTTGAAGTAACTACCAATCAATTCCTACAGATGTTTTACAGTGCTTAGGCTGTTTAAAATATTTATTTTCCCTGCTGATGGCTCTGTAAGCAAGAACCGGTGATCTTTCACTGTTGACCCTGCTTGAAAGGCAGAACCACCTGGTGTGTCCCAAAGTTTTGTCCGAGTATTCTTAAATGTTATATGCATTGCACTGGCTGGTTCAATAGGCAAACTACTTGCCTCATACTGTACAGATAGCATGCCAAAGTTGATGGATTTATGTGAGCTCTCATTTATGAGTTCTCTACTTGATAATTGTGAATAAAACCACCCAACAAAGGACATATAGAAGAATCCAATGACAAGAATCAGAGATCCTGCAACCTGTCCCTTTGAGGCAAGGGCATTAGTGCAAAATCACATGATTTCGCTTACCAAACTATCAATCCAGAAAATCAATGTTCTGGATGGGCTAAACACTATAAAACGTCTGTGGATATTGATTGGTGAAGATTTCGAAGCAGTTGAAGCAGAATTAAGCGTGTTAGAGGGGCAATGGTGAAAACAACAATTTTTGATGAAATTTTGATGTGTGCCTTATGTTCCGCAAATGGCAGTAAGCCAGAGCGACCCACGAATATCGTCGAAAAGCTGGGGGCAAAGCAGAGTACAAACCCAAGAGCATGAAAGATTGTGTCATCCGGATGCGGAGGAGACGGTACCGACTGAAGACCACGAAATTCCTGATACTTACCATTGTTGCCTACATTGCGCTTAGACAGTTGCCTTGCGTATCTACAACCGATATGGTTAGTTAATTACGTCTTGTAGCCTCCGCCCTCCCAGATCCTTCGACTAGGGCTTGAACCCGTGCGTCGAACGGCACGGCGGTCGAAAAATACGGCCTGTTCTGGGTACGGACGGGTCGACCCGTCCCGTCTCCTGGGTTCTGGAATCGAGAAATGTACGGGTCCCGGCTGTCCCGGCCTTTTCGACGGGTCTTGATGATGCACCCCCAAATCATGCCGTAGACCTTGCGTAGACCAGCACGACTATAAGAGATCACCCGGGACGCCTCCGTGTCACTGTCAGGAATGCCTTAATCTCGAGGTACAGGTATGTGTCCCCTTCCAACTCGACGTTCCCGTTTTTGTTTCTTTTTGATTAAATATATCCTGTGTAGAGTCAGAGAGCCCTCAGTAATGTCCTCACATACGTCCTCCCTGCCCAATTACGAATGGATATCCGCGTTCTCACGCAGCATGCCTTTTTTGCCTTTTTTGACAGGATCCTCAACATTCTGAACGACCGGCTCAATAGACTCGTTACCAGTCTGCCCTACAACGGCAAATCTTAGTGCAAGCACTATGCCGTAGGCAGACTGGTACAACTCGGGACATGTCAAAGGGCTGAGCCCGGAGTTTGAAATCTTTGATCTTACTTGTGCTGGACTCAAATCTTATTATTTTTTCTTGGGCAAACACACAGGGCGATTTTAATTCAGAAAGTCACTTTTCGGACTGAGATCACCGAAGATAACTTTGATGGCATGATCGGCACCACTCAAGAATTTCAAACTCTGGGCGCAGCCCTTTGACATGTCCCGAGTTGTACCAGTCTGCCTACGGCATTGCTCGCACTCAGATTTGCCGTAGCGCAGACTGATCACGAGTCTACCGGCTGAAGTCCGAAGCGCTGCGGCTCTCGCTCACGCGCAGAGAGACGTTCGACCGCTATGCGGCGCAGCAGGAGGTCAGGATTACCACGCGGTTCGAGTGCGCGCGGTGTCAGACGGTGGCGTATTGTTGTAAAGGTGCGTGTGGACTTCGTATTCGTTAAGCCCATGAATCTGGCAGTTCTGAATCATAGCACACCAAAAAGAAGATTGGCGATCTGTGTCCGGGTCCATCCTGTACGAGAAATCAATTCGCTGCTACTGCCAGGGTACAGACGACAGTGTTTCGAGACGGCGTATTCGTTATTCGTAGTCAGTATTGAGCAGGCAAGGTATCTATGAGCGAGTGTCGAATTTATGGAGCATGCACAGCGGCATACATTATAATCCCCCAAACCAAGATGTACATGCACTCACGAATAATGTTTAAAATTGGAGTCAACGAGGAGGTTCCCCGGCTCTAGAGCAAGAGTGCTCTGGTTGCTATTTAGCGAGTGCTGTACTCTCTCGTTCGATTCCGTCATGTTGAACTGTCCATTCAGCCCTAACCCTAGCGAGTTTATTTACAACCACCGCCAACATCCACGGAGGTCCGCTTTAGCTCATGCTATCATGTGTAGAGCTGGTATTGGTCAATAGCCGGCTCTGCCTCTCAGTCAAAGCCGCCTCCATGGCCAATATCCTTGCGCGTGGTATTTCAGTGCTGCACTTGGCCGAGAATTTATTCAAGGGCGAGTCGAGCTCATTATCGGCTAGCGTCGATAGCGGTGGTGGAATAAATCCCAAACATCTGAGTGTCCGCAGAACATACCCGTTCGACTCGGGGATCGAGCCCAAGCTCAGTGGGAATACTGTACTGTATCTTGTTTGGAGTCCCTCACCTCTTCTCCGGCGCAGCAGACAGGATTGAAGATATCAGGACGTGATCGGAAAAGCGGTTCAGTATAACTGCTTTGCAACAATAAAGCCCTGCAACCCAACCAAATTTCCTCAGGTCACCAGGCTGAAAATTGAGTTGTATACGGCGGAGTAGCACACAGTGTGCAGTATGTAAATAAATCCACGGGAAAACCCGTTCGACTTGGTTTCCCGCCAAAGAAAGTAAGCACCGTCTTTCTGTCGATTTGGCTGCTCCCCGTTTCTAATTAGTTTTCCCAAGGTAGTCCGAAGTCAACCGGGCGGTGTATCTACTCTAGTACTCGCTATCCCAAAAAGTAGCCGGAAATCTATTTATTGCACTATAGCCTGTACACCAAAATCAACAAGGTGCCATCGGGATATACACAAGGATATTATGAGTCCACAACATAATTTACATATCATGAATCGGTTCATTACTGCAGTAGAGACATCAGTTTTGCCGATTGCAATTACGACATTTCATCGTCGTCCGGAAAGAGAAGTCTGGAAACGGCTCAGAACACTGAATCAGCTCTAAAAAAATATTGAGCTTGATAAATGAACATCCTCTGCAACGTATACAAGCCTCAGATAGTGGCTTGTATATTGCAATGATGATAATAATCATTGAATCGCGCGAAGGTGCATTTCTTGATCATGAATGATTTCACTGGGGAGTGAACGAAATTAATGGCTCAAAAATACACCACAGATGTACTAGACTGTCTCCTTTCATATTTCCATGAAGAAATACAGTGCTAAAAGTCGAATTTCTCTTTTGGCAGGATATTTTAACAGTGCAGCTTACAGAGCTCACACAAGATTTGGGTCAGGGCCTCTATTTTTGCCCATCCACACGCTTCTCCCACTTTCTTTTGCATACGGAATGTTCAAATTGTAATAGCGAGTAGATCACAATGATTAAAGGTTGGAAGACGGGGTTGCATATGGCGTGCACGGCTCATGATTGAAACAGCGTATGAAGTATTGAATCTGGGGCCCACCATGTGCAAAAGCCGTGTCAATTTTCTTAAATTAAATTAAAATAAACCTAGTTGCAAGCCATGAAAGTGCACGGCTCCATTTAATTTAATTTTAAATCTTTCAGTCTACGGCAGTGTGGATATATATGAATGCCCCAAAATGATGAAAATCTGCGCCCGTGTACTCTGGCGAACTTGAACTGTATTAGGTTTAATGGTCCGCGCTTGGCTGACGGCATGCATTACTTCTAACAACGATTTCTCGCCTCTCATATGATAGATCATTGATGTTTGTCGCGTGCACCATCAACGCAACCGCAACTCGCCTCCCCCGGTTCGCCGCATCCACCGCCGACGCTGACGCCTGCGTCGTAGCGTCCTAACCCTCTCCCCGTTTCCGTGACGTAAAGGCTAAGCCCGCCGTCCATAAAAACATAACGTCCTCGTACGCCTCCCCCTTTCCCACAGATTCCGATCACTGACGTAAATACGGATCTAGTTTGACATCCCCATCGACGCAACCCCGAGCGGGCACATTATGTTCGCGGTATACGACACGCGCGTTAGCGATGGTTTAGGTATCAAATGCAATGGGCGTCGGTGTCCTCTTCTTGGTTATTTTTTTTCCAGGGCGGAAGTCTACTTATTCCAGACTTCCAGTCAAAGTTAGAGTGGCAAGGAAGTGCGCGCTGACAGTTCATACTGCAGTGCGTGGACTTTACGCGGGGATGAGTGCCAAGTCCGCCCGTTTATGCGTAAACGGGCTTAATTAAGCATAACCATTTCCTACTTCGTGTTCTCATTCTGCCACGCTGGGCATCACCACCGGACATGGTCTTGGCATTCCGTCACCGATCTATTTTCACCCATTGTGGGCCGACAGCAATAGAGCCCGTTGCTCCCTGATGTCGCCACATAGTAGTGTAAGTCAGTACCTGCAGGGATGACCATATTAGAGCTTGCAAAGAACGGACATCCATAAATTTCGTTGGATTCACTATATAGTATTTACTGTACTCAAAGCAGCTCTCCTCATCTCTGCACTTGCCTCACAACTTATGAAATATGAGGAATGGCATCGCAGCAAACTTCCAGTACGTCTGGGCCGATTGCCCATTGACACCAAGGTTAGAGACAATATTGCGGCACTCGCCAGGGTACATCTCACTGCAGCCGCTGTGAAGAGC